CCCCAAAACCCCAAAACCCCAAAACCCCAAAACCCCGAGAGATAAAATTAGATTTGAATTGATTGATAAATGTTAATCCAAATTTCTTATTTAGAATTATTAAGAAGATTCGAATTAAATCTTAGAGCATTATTAAATGTCGTATCAGTAGAACGCAAACGGCGAATCGGAACTGGATGCCAAAATAGAGGCAATCTTCGATAAAGCTGACGATCTCATGATAAACCAAAAGAAGTACAAAGAAGCTGTAAAATACAATCTTCCTAATGAAATTTAACAATAGTAAAAACTTTATGAGGAAATTTTACAATTAGATCCTGAAAATATTGACGGTTTAAACAGTTTAGCTACTTGCATTAAGTCAACTCTCCCAATCGGACCTTAATGCTTTGAGAAAGTGCTGCCACTTTACTAGAAAGCTCTCTCAGTATATTTTATAAATATCTAATGTCACCTAGGTTGATCCTGAAGACTTTGAGACAAACTTCAACATCGGAGTACTATATTATGAATAGAAAAAGGAATATGATAAGGCTATTCATTACCTTAAGATCGCCATTAATGAGGAGAAAAATGCAACAGCTCTATTCAATCTAGCCGTTATATATGAAGAGAAGGGAGATAAATAGAGAGCTAAGGAGACATATATTGAGGTTAGTTTTATTGACGATTTAATCTTTTATTAAGGTCTAAAAAGCTGATCCAAATCATTACAAAAGCAAGGTTAATCTAGCAATATTGCTTGACAAAGAGGGAAAGGGATAAGATGCAAACTAGTATTATCAAGAAGCACTTAAGTAAAACCCTAAGGATTCTAAGATTCATCATAATCTGGGAATTAATCTCAAGAGAGCTGGCAGACTTGATGAGGCTTTGACTTATTACAAGAAAGCAATGGAGTTAGATCCAGAAAACCCAACAGTCTTATACAACACAGGCATCTTGTACAATATAAAGTCAGACTATGGGAATGCAGTTGATGTTCTTGAAAAATCTATTTCAAAGAGTAAGGATAATGTTTACGCTTTCTTAGCGCTTGGTGATGCTCTTGAAAGGCAAAAAGAGATAAGGAAAGCTATTCAAGCATACAAAGATCTAATGGCCTAAGGTACTACATAAGTTCATGGATTGAAGGAGAAGATCATGTATCTTGAAAATATTCTTAACTCAATGAAGAAAAGCAATACTTCCAAAGAGGAGATTAAATCACCTGCTATGAATGCATCTGTAGCAGGAGAGCAGTCTACAGATAAGATTTCCAAAAATGCTTCAGTTAGAAGCAAAAACCAAAAATCAGAGTAGATTGAGAAAACTCAAGATGCCATTTCCCAGCAAAAGAGTGTCAAAGATATCAAATCTGCTGCTTCACATAAAAGTGTAGTTGACACTAATCAAAGCAAGGCTTCTTTGACAAAATCAGTGATGAGCTAACCACATATCGATCAGCATTCAAATCTTCAGGTTTCTATGAGAAACTAAGACGAAGATGAGTATTAAGATGATTAAAATCAAATGAGTGAAGTCTAAAAGGATGATTTAACTTCCTAGCTTGCATCAAATAGATAATCAGTCTAAGATCAGAAGGCACAAGAATAAGTTGACCAGCAGGAGGAGGACAATGAAGATTAGGATCAAGAATAAGAAGAATACAATTAGGAGGAAGAGGAAGTAGAACAAAAATAGGATGATATCCTGAATGAGGATTAAGATGAGTAGCAGGAGGAGGATCTAGTATAGAAGGATCCTAACGCAGATTTCTTGTCTTGGACTCTTGATGATTGTGTGTAAAAGCTAACTGAGAAACCAGATAACCTCTACGCCTTAATTAGACTATGCCATCTTTAGATCGAGGATAAAAAGCTTATTGAAGCTTAGGATAACTTGGACTAAATTAAAAAGTAGGATAAAAACTTCTTGCCCGCACTTTAGTTAGAACTCTAAGGAGATATTTGCTTTAGGAAGGAAGATAAGCAGTTCATGGATGCATTAGAGTACTATCAGAAGAGTGCTAAGCTTAACCCAGAAAACTTTGAGATCTATTTGAAGCAAGGTAAATGCTATGAAAAATAAAGAGACTTTGAAAAGGCCACACTTTTGTTCTAGAAGGCAGTTGACATGAATGATAACTCGCCTTGGGCTCATTTTAGATTGGGATGGGTATGCATTAGAAATGGCCAGAAAAATAAAGGTATTGATCATCTCAAGAAGTCACTTAGCCTTGATCCTAATAATTGTGATGTCTTAACTAAGCTTGGAGAGGTCCTCATGAGAGAACAAGATGCACTGGAGGAAGCTGAGGGATATCTCAAAAGAGCTATTGCGATCGATGAAAACATGCCAGATGCACTTGTAGCTTTGGGAAGGGTATACGAGAAGAAAGGTGATGTAGACCAAGCTGTTGAATGCTATGAAAAAGCCATAAAGTAGCCTGTTTCAAATATCAATGCTTACTTCTATTTGGGAATAATTCATGAGAAAAAGAAAGATTATAAAAGGTCTATTCAACTATTCAAACAATGTCTTCTCTTCGATCAAGAGCATTTCGGTGCCTGCCTTCATTTGGCCACATTGTAGGCAAACGCAGGGGAATCCCATAAAGCTGCCAAATATTTTAAGCATGCTTTGAAGCTTGACTCAACTAACATTCCAGCAAACTTCGGCCTTGGCAAAATCCTCCATTCAACTTCTGAGAATGTAGATGCACCGATTCCATACTATGAATACGTGATAAAAAATGACCCCAAGCATTACAAAGCTTTTTGCTAGCTAGGAATTGTTTACTTGGAAAAGGGTGAACTTGAAAAAGCTGCTGAGTATCTCAAGTAATGTCTCTAGCTGAACCCCAAATATGTTCTGGGTCTAGTATCAATGGGTAACTTACTTTTTGAGACTGGTCACTCTAAAACAGCTGCTAAGTATCATCTCTAGGCTTTGAAATTCAATAAGAAAGAAATTTAGGCACTTATTGGCATGGGTAATGCTTTATATGATATGGGTGAGCCTAAAGAAGCTATTGAGTATTACAAGCAAGCTCTTGAGTTGGACAAGGGCTTAAGTGATGTACACTATAACTTAGGTAATGCTCTTTACTTAATTGAGGATACAAATACTGCTATCCATCATTATAAGATTGCAATTGAACTCAATCCTAACAAGCCTGAATCTTACTACAACTTGGGCAATGCTTTATGTATCAAAGCTGAGTTTGAAAAGGCTATCGTTAACTATAAAAAAACAATTGAATTGGATCCATACAATGCTCCAGCTTTCTATAACCTCGGAAACGCCTATTACATGATAAATGAATTCGATAAGGCTATCAGCAGCTATGGACAAGCTCTTAAACTTAATCCGGATAGTGCTGAGTGCCATTTCAACATAGCTAGTGCTTATAACGACAAAGGGGAATACGATCATGCTATTAAACACTATAAGGACTCTTTGCAATATGATCCAAAGAATGCAGAGACTTTCGTCAATCTAGGAACTATTTATGAAACCTAGAAGAAATATGAGGACAGCCATGAGGCATTCTAACAAGCCCTCAAAATCAATCCAGAGATCTAAAAAGCTCAGGAAGGGCTTTAGAGACTAGAAAAGTTAATGGACGAGAACAAATGATAAGATATACTGATTAAATGATTCAGACTTTAAAACTGATTTAACTGCTTTATTTCATAAATTACATTAAAATTCAATTATGTGGGGTTTTGGGGTTTTGGGGTTTTGGGGTTTTGGGG